CTGGCTTATGGGAAAGTGAGGTAAGACGAGGTCCCCAGTCTGTGCTGCTGTGGAGACCTTGTTTTTCAGTGCTATTAAATCCAAATATTTCAATGCAGCCTTTATATATGTCATATATGTTACATATGTATTGAAGACTTGCATTGAAATTTATTTAGAGAGTACGTGAAATAAATCTGAAATAGATTTACATTTATCTCAGAGATCTCAAACATTCAGGAAGTCTGCACAGTGAATGTGTTTTCTGGGTAACAGTCACATACCGAAAGAATTATGTGGAAGCTCTAGGCACAATTACCTGGACAAGTCCCAGCTATCACTGAATCCCATCCCACTGCTGAGAGGAGAATCAGCCACTTTGTTTCAGGGGTTAAGCCTGTACATTTTAAAAGGAAAAGCTATTTAAAAAACTAACAAAAAAAAAGGTTTTAGCTGTTTTAGTCATCAAGCAACCAAAGATACCTCCAATGGTCACTGGAATTTATTTTCTAGGATTTATTGGACACTATTGGAATGAGAAATTCTTGGCATCAGATTATTAAAAGGAAGGGGAAGTGCTATGGATGCCAAAATAGTATTAATTAAGGGTCTTCAAGAAGTTTTTGTCTCCCTAGGAGCTACTTTCACTTACATATACTTGGAATAATGCAAAAATCTTTCTTTTTAAGAGCCCCTCTTGCCAAGAGGTTCTTAAAGTACTTCACATACATTACACCCATTAGTAACTTTGCAAATTCCCTATTATCTGATTTTTATAGAAGGGTTGGTGTATGGACACACGGAATGTGTGAAATCCCACTTTACCCATTGTCAAAAACTGGAACATCCTCTGCGGATGTAGAATATGTAACTCCTGCCCATCAGGAATCTGCTATTTCTGCCCCCAGGCCAACCCAGTGACCAAACAAAACATACATATCTACTGCCTTCAGTGGGCTTTGAATTGAATATATGGCTCACAGTGGTCACTATTTTTGTTTCTACATATCCTTTACAAGGAGCTATTACCCCCATTACAAGGGAGCAATGTGGCACCACAACTGGATATTACATAATTTACTCCTCCACCAACCCTTCTTGGCACATTTCAGGTCAATACTGAAATGTAAGGGTTGCAATGACCAAAGTTTTGCCCGCTTTGTCAGCAAACCTTTACAAACTTTTGTTTGAACCATGGCAGCCAGAAGCCTTGTCAAAGGCCAGGATCCCATCAGGCTATACGCTGTACCAACACTAAATCATAACCCTAGCAGACACCAATAGCTCTGTGGCTGAAGCATGATATATGGCTCTGAAAGTGGCCACCTGGTTCAGCTGCCAGGGCATTAGTGCGGTATGTGCCGAAGTTGGACACGCCAAAACATCCAGTCTACATACACCACCATGAAACACTTCCCTATAATCATCTTGAGGCCCAGTGTTGAAAAAGGAAAAGACACAAATATATCATCCCAGAAGATGACAGTAGAGGAGATGGACATTGCTGATGTTACTGGTGCTTCAAAGAACAATGAATTCATTAAGGAAAATTCCTAGATGATCCCAAGATGCAGCCTGTCCCTCCTGGTACAGAGTCAGGAAAACCACTTCAACGGTTCCTGCCAATCTGACCTGGAAAATGGTCTTAAATCAGTTTAACTCAGAGTCAATGTGAAAAACACATCAATCTGGCACTTGAAAGATGCTATAAAGAGCACCAGTGCAAACTGTGCTACATCCTGTCGCTAGCTGTGGAAATCTCCAGTTCCTCAGAAGGAGATGAGGAAAAAAGCTGTTCCAAAAAGCCAAGTTATACAATAAGGGTGGTGGTGGGAAAGTTCATCCTGGTCCCTGGAATCCAATAGCAAAAGCCCAGAAACATGTAATGAATATGATGGAAGCAAATGGTGATTTAGTCCATTTTGTCTTTGCAGAAGATAAGGAGTGAATGAATATTGCTGAGAAACATAAAACAGTATTTTTTTGTCTGGGACACTTAAGTGAGCAAATCAGCAATTCAGCCCTTACTAACTGTTTGCGCTGCTGCAAAGAGGAGTTTTCCAAAGGGTTTTGAACAAAAACTTTGAATTAGCTTCACACTCAAAAGGGATGTCCAGAGGATGATCAGAGTGACAAGGAGAATGCTGATGGTTTCATACAGATGACAGTAGAAAGGAAAATAGAGAGGAAGAGGGAAATGCATCCTGACCCATTCTGGTCTCAAGCTTATTGGTCCACATCTGGGAGGTGGCAGGGAGACTGCTCCTCTGATGAATTCAACAACAACAACAAAAAAAAAACAAAAACAAAAAAAAAGACTGCTTTGCATTCACAGTGTGCAACTAGCAAAACCAACCTATTTCTTTCAAAAGAAGACAATGCTTTGAAACCAAAAATAATGCCTCACACTTAGGAGTCTCAGATTGAGCTATGGCAGGATAAAAAGGATTTGGCAGTGAAAGGGTTAGTGCTCTCAAGGAACAGAAAGACCACACTGCATGTCCTAATTACAAGGCTCATCAGGCCAGCTGCAATGAATTCAGGATTTCCTTATCTTGCTGTAGTGGGAGGATGGGAGAGCTGGTGGTAAAACTTCAAAACTGGCTTGGTGAGAAGTTGGGGCTGATAATGTAAGTTTGTTGGGTTTGTTTTCCTCTATGAAACTTGTTGACTTAGTTGAATGTGAACTAAACTGAAAATTGGGTGTTGTACTTTCCAAAGGTAAGCTCTCTGCTCAGTAGATCTTTAAGCTGCGTCTGGTGGTGATGTTGGGAAGTAAGGCTTCCTTTGTTATTTGTTTGCTAAGTGTTTCCAGTTAAAGGACACATAATCTGTAAGGTTACAGTGTGGTCCTTTGTGAAAGAGGCAGCTATTGTCTTCTCTAGCTGTGTTACTCTGATTTCCAGTTGGGTAACATATGTGAGTGACTCAAGAGTTCCAGCGTTTAAATCACCTCTAAGAAATTCCTAGTTATGTGAATGATCTGGCAAATGCTCTTGATTCTCTTGGCTGGTCCCTGCCTTTCCGAGACAGCTTTTGGAACTGATGTGCCAAGAGGTGGATAAGGAAATACTGAAACAGAATTTATCTCTTTAGCTTCTTTTTTAGTGACGGTATCATGTTGAAAGTAAAGGCAATAGTACTGTTAGAAATACGCAATGAAACATTTGAACAAATAGGTGGTAAGTCTTCCTTTCCAAATTCCCCATGGTATGGCTATTGCTTTAGCTGTAAAGGTATTTTTTTTAAGGGTGAGCAGAAAGCACAGACTGCGTGATAGCATCTCAACTGTGACAATACTTAATTCTGCCCAGAGGTGATGGGATGACCTATTTTCCAGAAGAGCTTATATCAATAAGCAATAGCAACCTGTTTATGTGGGAATGGCACCTTGTTATTAGGACTTACAGGAGTTAAGAAGCAAAGCTTTTAGGTATGAGACTGGAAATGTAGAGGCATATTTGGAAAGTTCAGTTTCTGCCCTAAGTTCTGTCTATGGCTGCTGGACTTTTCAGGCAGTGATGAAAGGGTACAAATCCACTAGTTACCTTCAGTTAGCATGACCTGTGCTGGCTGAAGTGGTTGATGGGCTATGCCTGGCCAGTACATTTGTTTGGTGCTCTTGGGGTTGTTTGGTTTTATTTTTGTTTTAGAACTATACTTTAAAAATAACTTTACCTGCCCCTTTGAAGACCTCCTTCCCTCACGAGCATCCCAAAGAAGAAACTACACTGGTACCCGTACACAATATATCACCTCTTAAAATAAAAAGAAATTGATAAGAACTTAAGAAGATTTCTCCCAGTGGTTCTCTCCACATTTGTTTTAATTGCACATACTGAAATGAGGTCCTGTAGCATTTCAGTATTCCTATAATGTAGTCCAGTCATTGATTCTTCATTACATGAAATAGTCTGTAATTGGAAAGTGATGAACAAAGAATTTTTGGTGGCTTATTTTTGCTTTAGTATGTTGCCAACCTAATAAAGCAAACAAAAATAAAGCAGTCTTAACTTCCAGGGTTA